CCATTCCTCTATCTATTCATTGATGTAAATAAGAAAAAAACAAAGGTTCTAACACTGATCCCTTAAGTACCCCACTTGTGACATTAATCCAGCAAGTTTAGGTAATTTACAAACCATTCCTCTATCTATTCATTGATGTAAATAAGAAAAAAACAAAGGTTCTAACACTGATCCCTTAAGTACCCCACTTGTGACATTAATCCAGTTTGACTGGACTCCATTTATAACAACCCTCTGCTTTCTTAAATCTAGCCACTTTTCTATCCAGTGAGTCAACTTATCCTACATATCTACAGAGATCATTTTTAACAACTTTTATATATTAAACACACACCCATACTCTCATCTACATAGCTTATTGTATCCTGTGTAATAGTTCAAGATTTATATAAGTAACAGTGTCCCCTGTACTACCTAATGATTTATATAAGTAACAGTGTCCCCTGTAATACCTAATGATTTATATAAGTAACAGTGTCCCCTGTAATACCTAATGATTTATATAAGTAACAGTGTCCCCTGTACTACCTAATGATTTACTTAATTCACTGTATCCCCTATAATATCTGAAGACGTACACTATACTTACTTCAACAGGGTCCACATAAGTGTTCTGTTTCAAGAGTAAATAAAACCAAAATTAAGAGTAACAAATATTAAATTATACCTAACTGCCTTTAACAGTTCAAAGTACAAAAAACTAATAAGCAAACTGTATACGTTCACTGTAGTTAACATGAAATGCTCACCAGGTTAAATAGTTCCTAGTCACTCATTTGTTTTAACCTATATGATCTCATCAAGCTTTTACCTTGTCTGGTGAAACCTGTACACTGTACTTTGAGAAGAAACCTCTTGGCTCTGGGAAGCCTCATCCTTCTCTCTGTTTGGCTCAATGACAACTTTATAAAAGAAAACAAAACTCCGGTTAGGTTTACAAACAGAATGTCTCAGTTTAATAGTGTAGTTGGATGTAAAAACAATCAGTTTGTTAATAATATACAGTTATGTACGTTAGTGTAACTTCATAACTTCTTGACTTTAACTTGTTTAACCTGGATTGCATCACCCACTAATTTTGGTTATTAAAAAGCATTTCAATTGATAACATTATAGAGTTTAATTTAATTGGAAGTTTTAAGGAAAAAAAATTGGAGTAAAATAAATAATTAAGAGAAACTAAACATTATATGAAGATGCATATTGACATTTTTCTTAAATCTAAAATGTATTTCCAATAATACTTACCTCCTCTCACTCTACAGCTAGTACTCAACTGCCAGGGTTTCTTCCTTTGCCCATCTAAGCATCAGTCTGATTTTTACTCACTTGCTCCAGTGTTTTATTCCCCACTTAATTGCTCTTGGTGATATCTGTCTCGTGACACTCTCCACCTACATCAATGTGCCCTCTATCCCGGTACTGTGTATAAACACCTCATTCAAATAATATTATTACTTTCTTCGAGTCTGACGTAATCTGCAGTCTCTAACACTGGCTCGTAGTGGGGAGAAAGGGCAGGAGAGTGTGAGTGTGTATTACTGGAAATACATTTTCAATTTAAGAAAATGTTAATTTTCAACACATATTTACCTCTGTTTACACTAGAGCTAGAATCGTACATTGATAAGGTGGAAAGGCCGTTGTGGGCATTATCTATACAGAAAGCATCTGCATAGATCATGGGTGTGTCAATAGAAGATTGGCACCCTAGTGGGGGAACCGCACTACATCCACAACAGGTATGCTCTTCACCCGGAACTTAATTCCTGTATCACAGGTGGAGTTGTACATGAGAGATCATCACTATTGGTCAGGCCCCAATCAGACAGTCAAGGTTCCACTACTCAGGGTTAGAATTATAGGGCCATGGTCCCTATATCCCACGTTGGTGGCTATAGCAATTGGACCACAGTCTATATATGTATGAGTGAATCCCAACCTGTAGATATAGAGTGATGCATTAAGAGCCACTGGAATCATGATGAGAAGATAAGCAACACCGAAGTAGACAAACCTTCTCCTTAACCACCAAAAGGCAGCACCACAAACTCAGAATAACGGGATCCTGTATGCCATACTCAACCTGAGGAAACAGAATTCATCCAGTCTAGAATTATGAACACTCGTCTTCACACCCCAACCATGTGCTTAAGGTAAATTAATACATGGTACATAAGGCTAAGGGCTCAAATGGATGTCGAGAAAGAGCATCTAATACCACCTTAATATCTCAGTTAGGTAACCGAAATGGTCTTTTGGGACAAAGGATCCAAAACAGCTTGAGAAGACCAGAGAGCACTAGACTAAAATAATTTTTGTCTCTTCGAGTATCTAAAGGTAGTAAATAAGGCTGCCTTATATAAGGCAATTGTGGAAAATGCTAAACCCTTGTCAAAGAGCCAGATCTAAAAATGGGCTGTGATTGGCACTTCTGGGCAAAGTGGGTTCAACCTCCTCGTAATACACCATTGTCTATATGTGTGTTATTTCCGTTGATAAATATCCATCATGGGACTATGCAGAGACTGAAACCAATACATGGAAACCTTAGAAGTTAAACCCCAATGCCATGCAAAGGACCATATAATCTCCATGCATGAAGCTTTTACTTCGGGATAGTTGGGTGTACGATGTCAGATCATGGCTGCCTCAACAAAAATGCAGATATTATAGTTGAGCCACCCAATCCGGTGCAACCAACAGAACATGACAAGGGGTTGAACGAATCATAGTTAGTACTCTTGAGTAACAGATGAATCGGTGGGAAGGCATAGAGGTGCAATCCCGTCCAGTCCTGACTGAATTCATCTATTGCTAATGCCTGAGGGTGAGGTACTGGAGACCAAAATGCTGGTATTTGAATGTTCCAACAAGTGGCAAACACATTGATTATCAGTGTCTTGAACCGAAAGCAAATCCAACAGACAACCTCGCAATGCAGCATCCACTCTGTTGAGAGAATCCAGTTGAGTTGAAACAATTGATCTACAACCTAATTCATCACCCCTGGAACATGGCAAGCTAGTAAGATCAAATGATGGAAGTGGGCCCAATAAAGAAGATCCAATGTCCAAAAACAAAGAGATCTGGAACGAGTGCCCCCTGACGGGAAATGTAAGAGACTACTGTGAAATTTTCAGAGCTAATTGTTCACAATAAGTCCAGACCTTGAGACATTGCCCTTTAAACATCAAGAAGTTCTAAAACATTGATGTGTAGGGAAGTCTCGTCATCCATCCATAGACAACCTGGGAATTCCTGAACATTGAAATATGCACCTCATCCCTGAAGAGAGGTATTTGTGAAAAGATAGATCTCTGGACGAGATGGCAGCAGTGGAACACCTATCATAGTATTGTTCCGATCTAATCACCACTCAAGATTGAAGATGTTGATCCAGACTACAGAATCCAATTGGTCCCATAGAGACCACTGAAGGGATCTCATTCGCGCTCGTCCCAAAGAAATGAAGGATTTAAGTAATGCCCGCATCCCCAAAAGAGAAAGAACCATACGTGCAGTGGGAGAAGGAGATATAAGAGTCATACTGCCTGTTCCATAGCATGGAGCTGGATGAGAGTTGGCTAAGCCCGACTGATATACATATTGATAAAGGCACCCAGATGTACGATATATTGTGTTGAAGTGAGAATAGGTTTCTCAGCCCTGATAATAAAGCCTGCCTTGGTTGCTTCTGAAAGTAGAATCTGGATGTGACATTCTGCCAACTGACGTGATGGTGCCAGCAGTCATACATGTAATGGCATGTACACAGACCTAGGAAGTGGAGGTGTGGAGAATAAGCTCACAATGCTGCAAAACACATATGGTGTCGATGCTATTCCAAAGGGTAGAGCTCTGAACTGCAGCACCTGACCCCTGTGCACAAAAGCAAATAGTGTCGGGAGGACTCTGCTATAGGAACGTGTAGATAGGCATCAGCAACATCAAACTTGGTCATCTAAAAATCCTGGCAAAAAATGCCAACACAGAATGATAAATGACTCCATCATGAACCGTGGAGGGTCTAGAAATTGATTGAGATGAGAAAGATCAATGATCGGATGCCAGTCTTCCATCTTCTTGGGCATAACAACAGACAGGAATAAAACCCTGGAAGAACTGGGACGACTGCTTCTTTAACCAACAAATCTCCAAAATCCGAGGATCTGCAGGAGGCAGAAACATTCAGGTTGGGGGAATAATGGTGTTTGAGATGTAAACTGAATGGCTAATCCTGATGCAAAAACTTGTAGTACCCATGGATCCATGGTAAAGATTTTCCACAAATCCAGAAATTCACGGAGCCGAGCCCCCGCGAACCCCAAAGGCATATGGTAGTCACTGCTGCCAGGTTCCAATTGAGTGAAGGAACCTCGTGGATAGGAGCAGAATCTACTCAGGGTACCAATGGATCGAGGGGCTGATGTCAGGGGTTGAGACATTCGAATAAGGGTAGAACTATGACACCCTCTAGGAGCCAAGGAAAGTCGAGAAGCCAATGACGACAAGGATGAATGCAGATGGGCAACACCAACCCTTGATTACAAATACTCTTGGAATGCCTACAAAAAATCAAGAGTCAGAGAATGGGGGCCTCAGAGTAGCTGGTAGACAAACGCCCTCCAACAATGCATTTCTACCCAACAAATTCCAACAACATACCAGCCAAGAGACTAGGAAAAGTGCAGAAGCTAACAATCGAACCAAGGTAGATACCAACAATGGTCCCAACTCGTCATCAAGTTGAGGTGGTGATCGCTGAGAGGCTTCCGGCAAAAGTTGGAGGGATAATTAATATCTCAGAACCGTAGTTAGGGTCAGATGAATCCTACAAAATTGTGATATATTCAGGTTGACCACAGACTCCGTTCTGGAATCCCACATTTCCAGAAGTGGATCTATTCTTTGAGAGTCTAAATATGCATCCACCTGGCGATGGTAGGCTAAAGCATGTTGTTCCGACAAACGTGGTGGACAAGGCACAGGTGTCCCTTCATACATCTGAGCAGTAAACCTCCCTGCATGAACTGCAATATCAGGGGATGGAGGGAGAACTATGTATTCGCCCTCAGACTTTTCTGCCATCAAGGAAGGCACAGACTCAAATGCAACTAGGGAAATACCTAAAACATCACACACTTAATTGACCAACTGAAGAAAAGGAGCCAGAGGCAGCTGATCCAAACTAGCTTCATGAGAGAGTAAAGGAAGGAGCTGGAAAAAGCGAATCTAAATTCTCTCCAGAATGCCCAGGATAACTCGCAACAAGTGCAGCCTTAGAGCTCCCCTGGAGAAACACCAGTAAACGAACATACATCTCCATATCACTATTAATAAGGTCACAGACAACCTCAACTGAGAAGTGACCCCCCCCCCCCTGACTGTTGAGCGACACTAGATATCAGAGGTGGGATAGGAGAGACCTGATTTGCCTCTGTGCTGGAAACAGTAATCCGGGAATTTGTGCCGTATATATAGGCTTGGCAAAAAATATTTTTTTTTACGAAAATCAACTAGGTACCATAAAGAACGCTCAAAATATCTCCAAAGGTCGTAGTACGGAGAAATCCATTAGTGAATGCTTTGTCAAGAAAATGTGATAATATTATCTGAATGAGGTGTTTATATACGGCACCAGGATACAGGGTGCATTAACGTAGGTGGAGAGTGTCACCAGACAGATATTGCCAAGGGCAATTAAGTGGGGAATAAAAGACTGGAGCAAGCAAGAAATAATCAGACCAATGTTTAGATGGGTAGAGGAAGAAAACCCTAACAGCTGGGTAATAGCTGTAGTGTGAGGAAGAGGCAAGTATGTTTTGGAAATAATCTTTTCATATGAAATTAAATAAGTTTATTTTTATTCCTTTTTTTCTTTAAAATCAAAAACTTCTCAAAATCATATAACTTACACCTTAATGAAAATATTCTTATTTATATATAACACGAACAAAATATTTAATAAAAAAAGACACTACTGAACAGTGAATAATGAAAACCTACATCAGTATTAGGTAAATAACATTAAACTTTTAGTTGCTCTATAAGTCAAGTTTTCTGATAAACTTGCACCAGAGAATGTCACAGTGACATTTGTATGTTGAAAACTGCAGTTCACAAAATTTATTCAATGTCATAATGGAGAAGAAAGAAACAATTTTATTGAAAAGCTCTAACATTCGCAACTGTCTAACTGGTTATTATAAAGTTATAAATACCTGCCTAGTAAAAACACTACCTGGGTTAGGATGTCTACTGATGTTAGTAACTGTAGGAGACCACTTTCCTGGACCTCCAAAAACAGAGCAGACCTGAAAGTTGAATATAGGAATTTATGATAAAACAGAAAATTCCAGTATACATGGAAATCAAACTCAAAGCGTACGTTTTACGTGTTTAAACTTTTCCAAAAGATGTCAAAGAATTTGTAACTTTCGTGTAAAAAATTGAAATCATTGAACACAGTAATGCCAATTAAATTCACATTGATCAATTAAAAAACCCACAATAATTATGAACAGATTTAATAAAGCATTAAAACTTACATAAAGAGGCTCCTTATATCAAACAAACTATCCTTATGCAGAAACTATGAGAATAAAAAGAAATGACCAATGGATATTTATGATTTAATAATTATTGTGTGATACCTTGGACATGGAACCCAGGCTTCCAGCATGACTCTGAGAAACTGCTACTGTTTTTATGGTTGACAGAAGAAAAGCCTCATTGTCGTCATCAGCCAAAGACTGACTCTCGGGCTGCGGTAAACAAATCAGCTCTTTATGCTTGACTAGCTCTTTGTAGATAGTTGTTTGTTTACAGTCCTGCGTCACAGTGTGTTCTAAATACGTACAGCCCTAGAAGATTAAAATCTCAGTAGTTCAACGCTGCCAAAATAAATTAAGTTCTTGAAGAATTACATTATGTACTGATTGATAAAGGTATATTCTAAAACAATTTTATTACAACAAATTTGTTGGGCAAACATTAAAGAAAGAATATAAAAATGTTTTCATCTTGTACGTATAAGTAATTAAACTTCAAGATATCATAACCTTGTCTTTAGTAACACTTTGTAAGCTGAACATATACACATTGGAGAAACAAAATACGGGGATGTATATACACTTAAGTTCTATACTTCTAACAGTAACAGTGTCATACGCATGCCCCCCCCCCCAACATCTGCAATTGTGGGGAGGGCACGAGCCAAAAGAGAGTCCGAAAGGCTTGACAAATGTAACTACAATTATAGGGAAATAAATTTAGGGGGCCTAATTACTTTTTCATGTGGGGGAGCCCATCTTTTGTAGTTATGTTACTGAACAGTACTATCTTAATTTATCTCTGTAAGTGGAGGCTGTATGTTTTCAGATTCTTTATAGTTGGTGTTAAAAAAAGATTTGCTGTTTGCTTTTCATAACTGATCAAAACTATTATATTATCACGAGTATAAAGTAAAAAGTTACATTTTTACAAATATAAAAACCTTTAAAGTAGCTCTTCTTTCTATGACCTTAAAACATTTTCTGTAGAAATGAAAACTCAGAGGGACAGGTTTAAGTACCACCTAATGTCAGCAGTAGGGTCAATAATCAATAGATGAGAAGCCAGTAGTAGGTATGAAATGTGAAGATAGAATATCGTGTAACATAGACACAAGGATAACTGCAATTAAAGGTTGTCTTCTCCGTATAATACTCCTTGACCATTGTACACCAGGTAGGCTGGACATTGTTTTAGAATCATGGACACAAGGTTGACAAAGGTTGTGTTTATTTTAGGCATTAAGGGATATGTTTTGAAAAAGGTCTATGGAGTTTTTTTAAAGTGTTTTTTGGGTAGTTATTGTCCATTACATAGGTAAGCCTCAAGTGCTGGAGAATGGGGAATCATTGAATAAGATCTTAATTATTTAATCACCTCAATAGGCTTCCAACAGCTATGGTTTTAATCAGTCTACGTCCTGTATCTTTACGGCATGGTATATGTAAAAATGGAAGTTGTTTTAAAAGTTTCCAAAATCTTTTTACTTTATGAACAAATTGCTGCATCAATATTACTCCAATAATGTTGCCCACTTAGGCAACTTGAACAAAATCCAATATTACTCCAATAATGTTTCCCACTTAGGCAACTAAGACAAAATCCCATATTACTCCAATAATGTTTCCCACTTAGGCAACTTAAACAAAATCCAATATTACTCCAATAATGTTTCCCACTTAGGCAACTAAGACAAAATCCAATATTACTCCAATAATGTTTCCCACTTAGGCAACTTGAACAAAATCCCATATTACTCCAATAATTCTTCCCACTTAGGCAACTTAAACAAAATACCATATTACTCCAATAATGTTGCCCACTTAGGCAACTAAGACAAAAAAGTTGTCTAAGTGGGAAACATTATTGGAGTAATATGGGAATTAAGTTGTCTAAGTGGGAAGCATTATTGGAGTAATATGGGATTTTGTTTAAGTTGCCTAAGTGGGAAACATTATTGGTGTAATATTGGATTTTGTTCATGGGATTTTGTTTAAGTTGCCTAAGTGGGAAACAACATTATTGGAGTAATTTCCACTTAGACAACTTAAACAAAATCCCATATTACTCCAATAATGCTTCCCACTTAGACAACTTGAACAAAATCCCATATTACTCCAATAATGCTTCCCACTTAGGCAACTTGAACAAAATCCCATATTACTCCAATAATGTTTCCCACTTAGGCAACTTAAACAAAATCCAATATTACTACCAATAATGTTTCCCACTTAGGCAACTTAAACAAAATCCAATATTACTCCATAATGTTTCCCAATTAGGCAACTTAAACAAAATCCAATATTACTCCAATAATGTTTCCCACTTAGGCAACTTAAACAAAATCCAATATTACTCCAATAATTTTCCCAATTAGACAACTTAAACAAAATCCAATATTACTCCAATAATGTTTCCCAATTAGGCAACTTAAACAAAATCTTTGTGTCCATTTTAAATCAAGGGTGTGAAGTTCTGTAACACCAAACTGAAAATTGTCTGTTTAATGAAAATCTTCAAACTAATCATTCTGTTAATTAACGTACATGCAGTCTTAAAGTCACAATATTTTATATGTAAACGTACCATAGAAGTCCCTAGAGGATCTAAAGGATTGTACTTTAAAGCCCTCTTCCCACAACAAGGATAAAAGCCTTGCCGAGATCTGGTGTGAAGCTGTTCAGGATACTGTGCTGCTTCGGGATGATAGCGACATCGGTATAGGTCAGAGCACGGGAAGTCCTTTCCGCAACGAGAACAAGTGAGACACTTGACTAGTCCCCAAAGACGCCAAAAAACCTGACTCCATGATCCCAGTTCTTTGAAGAGCATCTGTATGTAATTATCCTTATTCCAGTTTTGATCCCTGATGACAAAATGTTCAATTACTAAAGTAGAACAGTTATATTTCTATTCCAATATAAAAACAAATGCTGAGTTATTAAGATACTAACAAACAGAAAAATATGTACACCCTTTCTTGGATATTATTATTATTTTAAATCTGCATTGTGAACCGAATTTCACAATTATACAATGAGTCACTTAGTACAGTAAATAAACCATACCGAATCTAAATTCATGATTCAAGAAGATATCTCTCACATTCAATTTTACTGAAAAGTTTCAAATCATAAACATACCTTTTGTGTGCATATGAAATTTCTCCCTTGTTATCAATAAAAGCTCTGGAACATCAAGACATAAAATATGCATTAATTAATTTATACACAAAAGTATGGATTTAAAATATAAAATTCAATGTTGGAAATGTAGCTTCATTATATCACTAAGAATAAATGAAACATAGAAAAAAGTTTAAACCCTAATAAGTTCTACTTTAAAAGATTTATTACAATTTTAAAAACTCTACAAAAGGTTCTTCTTGGGTGAAGAAATAAAGGTGTACAATCTCACGTTACTGTACTGCATCAATAATAATGTGAACAAATGTATTACAAGAATTTTTTAAGTTAAAAAAACACAGAAAATATCTATAAACATTTATATATACCATTTCAATTAATTAAAAAAATTTTTTTTTCATGTAAAACTACACAATAGGCTGAATACATTGTCTGCCAGTAAGAATTAAATCCCAATTTTTAATGTTATAAGCCCCGAAGTTTACTGAAATTAAAAGTAGGGAAAACAGACAAAGCATTAAAATTATATTATTTTAAGAATCGTTAGGACAGAAAAAAATAATTTGTTGAATTAGTCACTTTTTCATCCTGAAATTTGTAAAATAATATTATTCAATTAATTACTTCTTTCAAGTAAAAAATCAGTAAACTTTTATGATGAACAAACACTTAACTGTGTACAGAAAAAACATAAATGATTTTAAAATCTTGAAAGAGTTTTAAAAAATAAATTATTTCACTGGTTATATAGAGAAAAAAATTATTTGTTTCTTAGCTGAATATTTTTCTTATACCTAGTAGAAAGGCAACTGACGACAGTTTGTAGTTTGGGAACAAATACTTTTTCACAAAATACACATCGCACAAGAGAATGGGCACCACCAATAGCTCCTTTACTTCTGGACGAAGGCATTTCTGGCTTAAGTAAATAATCTATATGCTTCCTGTACAATCTCCTAAACAGACAAAAAAGGAATTATAAAATAAAAATACCATCGTTTTTATACCGACCAGTCATATAGCTGGAATCCAAATACACAAACATATGTCAAACAGACTAATGATATGACGTACCAAGCAACTGTTTGAGATCTATAAATAGTACACAAAACAATGGTAAAAACAAACAGCTTTATAAAGTAGGAGCTGATCCAGCAGGACCACTGTTATCCACTGATTTGTTTCTCTTTTGTTAAGCACAGAACTATACAAGAGGCTATCAATGCTGTGCCCACCACAGGTATCAAAATCCAGCCTTTAACGTTATAAGCCTTGGAGGGCTGTTTCCACTGGTAAATCAAAAAGTTATCATTTTTCCTAAACTGAAAATGTATTTCCAAACATACCTACCTCCGCTGACACTAATAGCTATTTCTCGATCTTCATCTTTGCCATCTAACATTGTGTTCTCTTTCTCCTATCTTTATATACCCCCACTCGACTACCCTCGGCAATATCTACCGTATTTGATGGCATATAGGACGCATGGGTATATAAGACGCACCCCCATTTCAGCAGGTCAGATTCAGGAAAAAAAGTTTTTAGTGTATTTAATCATATATTGGTGAAAGTCATCTAACAGCACATTACACGGAGCACGCGGTAGCATTCCCTATTGTTTGCTTGTAATTTGCCTCTATCTCTATCTTCGCTCACTGATTGGCCGTGCATTTTTCGAGTTGTTGACACAAGTTGGTCGCTATATCAAGTTTCACAGTAAAGAGAAAACGACGTGACCAAACCTTGTTTCTGAAGGGACAAGCATTCGCACTTTTAATAGATAGACCTTCCATCCTTTAACAGGATGCTGAAAATTCGACTGCGTCTGGCCTATGCAAATTTCCTATTTCTTATTTCGTAGTTGGAATGCTGTACTGATCGTATGCTAGGATAGTGAGCATTAGGAAGAAGATTAGCCTGCGGAAGGTCTCAACTTTGCATATTAGACGCAGGGCGATTTTTTGAGCCAAAATTTTGGGAAATAAGTGCATCCTATATGCCGTCAAATACGATAATTTGCAAAACTTAACGCCGGCCCTCACACGCCCTCTATGCAGGTACTGTATATAAGCACTGTGTGCAGACAATAAAATCACTTTTTTGTGACTTACCTCATTCTGGTCACTAGCACCAGCTGTTAGTGGGGAGGGAGAGTGTCATTGGAGGTAAGTATATTTGGAAATACATTTTGAGTTTAGGAAAATGATAACTTCCAAAACATACATACCTCCACTGACATGATAGCCGGTGAGAACAGATCAGACAAGAAGTGGTATCAAAGTGGGGAACACCACACTACAT